GCCTTTTCAGTTGCAGCCTGTAATGCAGGGCTATTTTTGGGCAGGAACGCACAGGAACGGAGTTCCAGCTGGCTCCTGAGTTGGCCACGCCCAGCAGGAACTCACTAGCATAATAGGCCACACCCAACAGCAGAAACTCATAAGGATTGGCTACATTAGGGGTGTGTGGCCTAACATGCAAAGGAGTTCCTGCTACAAAAAAGGCCCTGGGTTTTGACAACAAACAAGGTAAACAGAATAAGAAGGGAAAGGTGGGTGTGGCTGGATGAGCACACTTCTGGTAACATGGGGGTGTGGCCTAATGTCCTAATGAGCAGTGCAGTCAGGGGTGTGGCCTAATATGCTAATGAGTTTTGTTGTTGGGTGTGGCCTATTATGCTAATGAGTTCCTGCTGGGCTTTTTCTACAAAAAGAGCCCTGCTGTAATGTATCCAGTTTCCTGTGAGGACGGCCAGATAATACACCAGCATATTGACTAATTACGCCGCCGGACACTGCCGCTGGTACCCAAGGACTTTGACATTCTGGACGCCCCGGATACCACAGCACTCCCACAACCGTCCACCCCGACGCCGACGCCTGCTGCAGAACTTGTACACCTCCCCTTGGGCGCACCCGAGGACCCCGTCCCTGGTGCCACCCTCGGCCAGCTCTCCACCGAAGGCATCAGGGGTGGAGCCGGCCTCAGTCCCCAAGCTTCGCCGCTCTACCCGCAACAGGAAGACACCAGCACACTTAAAATACTTTATCTGTGGGTGTATTGCGGACCAAGGGGGGAGGGGTGTAATGTATCCAGTTCCGACCGCGTGGCCGGTTTGGGCTCCACGGGGTCAAGCGCAAGCGTCGAGCTTCGCTCAGGGAAACAATGGACTAAGCGGATCCTAGCCCGCGCCTATCCGAGGGCTAGGTTTCCGGCCGAGAGCCTATGGAACTCTCGGCCACTGTAAATAACCTATTGGGATGTGGGGGGGGGGTTCTGGGTGGTGGTTTCACGGGGAATATAAGCCGGCCTGCGAGCTAGCTAAGGTTGTCTTGTTCTTCACTAATAAAAGTACGTTAGCTGAAATCACTCGTCTGTCTGCGTACTTTTCACAGCCCCTACTCTTTTCGGAACAGGCTTCCAAAAGGGGGATAGAAGGTCACTTTTCGCAGCTGCCCTGTGTTATTTAGAAGGCGCCTGGATGGAGTTTTAACATTCAGTGGTGGAACTTGGGCTGGGGGGCCCTGGTGGAGTTTGATGACGATGTCTTACGTATGTGGCACTTCTGAGTTGTTGCCTGTAGGAATCTGAATGTTTTCATGGACATATGGCCTGTTTGGGATATGGGAGCTGCCTTGAGCCCCGTGGGGGGGGTTTTAAAAAT